AATGAGTGGGAAGAGGAGAGGAGGGGAGGTGCTGCTGAATAAGGAGGGGAAGGGATGGGGAGACAAGAGGAAACTCTTACTTGCTCCACGGACTTAAAAAAGAGGGTGAAGTGATCCAAAACAGGGGGTTTATCTATGCCACTTCACTACCTCTGGATCAGCTTCTAGGTGGGATGCTAGCCACACCATTCTGTTGGGTGCTATTGCCTATAGAAATCAAAATGCCTTAACCCAGTAAGCTGCTGAATTTGGGTAGATGATTGACCCTTTTTGACCTTTTTTTTAATTTGGTGTTAAAAAGGCAATAGGAGACATTCTTGTGCAGAGAGCTAGAACAAGGCCTATGCATCACCGGCAAGCAGAAGGGCACATCAGAAAGTAGAAGCAGAACACCACCAGTATAGCAAACAGCACAATACCTGCTGCTCCTGCTGATGTTTTTCTACTATTTGAGAGTCTACTTTCAATTGTTCTTCAACAAATTCCTCAAAAGTCTTCTGTCTTATACCAATTCCTGGTCTGATTGGCCTAGGCAAAGAATGAAAGGGCAGTGAATATAATGATTCCCAACAATTTTCTTTGTAATTATGAAGCAGCTGACATCTAGTTCAGATTTCAATGCTGATCTGCATTTAACAAAAAGAAGAAGTGATCAATAAGTGTAGTGCAAAACTGTCATCTAAAAACTGTTTTCACTTTCAGATCAATATCAATTTCTCCTTAAAAATAGGGAAAAAAGAAAAAGGGAAATGAAACATACCTAAAGGGAAAAGTAAATCTCAAAAGCTGGACTCTTTTTTCAACCCTGCAAACCACGTTTATTCTAAACATTTTTCTAGACTACAAATAGCTCTAGTAAAGAATGATTTAGTCAAAGGAAAATTTCTGAAATATTTGATGAAAAGAACACCAATCTCCAAAGTACCTTTGCTTTGTAAGAAAAGGGAACACATCAGAGGGACAACTGAAAGTCTGAATAACAGGCCAGGGTAGTGTAGCAAATAGTTGCATGTGTGTGGAGCTAATATACTCTAACACTTGAGCAAAGATTGCTTTTGCAAGTGTACAGTCTATCTATCTTGGTGCAGACACTATTGTTCAAAGCATGTGTATGAAGTTGTTTGTACATTCATGAGCAGTGGGTGCTTTCTGAGGATGGGAGGAGGGAAAATAGATCTGGATTCCTTGCCAAGAGAGTGGTCCCAGAGTGGTCAGATTTTTTTTCCTGGGTCTTCTGTCATCCTCCTCCTTTTTAATCTACTCATATTTGTTCATGTTTCAAAGATGTTGCCACACAATAGGAGCTGACCCAGTGGCAATGAAAGGAATAATGAGTGAGAGTGTACATGCAGGGAGCTGTGAGATCTTGTGTGCATCCTCATATGCTCATCCTCTGTACTCCTAACATTTGCAACTTTATCATGAGTCTCATGGTCCATGGTGATTTCTCCAAAGCCTGCTTTCCTGGACTCCTCTGGTTTCTGTGAGAATCTCAGGCCACTAACAGACATTCACTTAAACGCATGATGGTATCTGATTTGCAGTCCTAACTACTGCATCTCCTGCCATACCACACATGCATGGCAGTGCATGTGATTTTGAGATCAGGCATTAGATTCCAATCACACTTTACTTGCCAGTGCAAGGGGACACCAGGACCATGATCCCAAGCTTGCATCAACAAGTTGAAAGCTAGGTGCCCACAATCAGACAAAACCCTAGATGGGAGGCACATGTGATTTTTACTCATCCCTGGGCACAGGGACCCCAGGATCGGGCTGTGGTTGCTGATCCTGGGGTTCCCATAATGGGAAATGAGCAAAAACCGTGTGCGCCCCCCCAGCTGCACAGCACACATGGTTTTTGCAGATCCTGGTACACAGGGACCCCAGGATCAGGGAGCCTTTCTGCAGTCCTGGGGTTCCATCATACTGGAACCTTTAAAAACCATGTGTGAGGCTGAACTGTACATGTGGTTTTCTGACATCATAGGCGCTGGGGATCTTGGGATCAGGGACAGGCTCCTAACCCCAGGGTCCCAGGGACCAGAATGTCAGAAAACTGTTCATGCAGCTCACCTACACACATGGTTTTTAAAGGTCTGGGGTGCAGTGAGCCTGAAATTGGAGGAGACACTCCCTGATGTCAGGCTCACTGCATCCCCCTTCTGCCTCTGGGGGCCAAGTGGGACCCTTGGGTCCAGGGAATGGTTCTCCCCAGCCTGACGGGGCAGGGGACAGCTGTGTTCCAGATCTTGAGGTTGCCCCATGCTGGACCCTGACACTGAGTTGAGTGTAGGGATTTGTCATGGGCCAGCCCCAACTCACCACACATTGAATTTAAGGCATGAAAAAAAAGCCACAAAGTTACTACACATTATATGTGGAATAGCATTTGGTTCATTTACTGTATGATCATACAGTAAGGTACCTTCGGAAGGTACCTGCAGGTATATAGGGAGGTCGGACTCAATGATCTACTGAGGGGTGGCCAGATTCAATGATCTACTGAGGTCCCTTCCAACTCAAACATCTATGAATCTATGAATGCCTTAAATTGACTTGAATGTGCGGCTGGGTTACTATTTAAGGCACAATTCACCTGTTAACATTTTAAATGTAATATGCATCAGGGGGCCTCTGTTTTCAAAACCTCATGATTTAAGGGGATCCAAGGGACAGAGCTGGCAATACTGGGAATGTGTACACTGCTTCCATGGCATGCTGGATAGCACCATCCAGAGGCATGGCCCTACCCAACCACTGCTGTTCCACATGCACCAAATGCAGAACTAAGGCAATAGAGTTGTACCGAGGGTACTGCCTGCCACTTGTTCTCAAGCACACCAGATGTGGGGATCTCAAGAGTAGTGGGGGAAGGAGCCTTCAGACCAACTTCACCGCCTTGTTTCTGGGTGTGACATGCATGGAGCAAAAGTGAGGTGTGCTTACAAGCAGTGCTCTCAGAAGGACTGTGAAAGCAATACAGACAGTGGAAGTGAGTCTCCACAGTCTGATGGGGAATTCTAAGGCTGCAATTCAGTGTAAAGGTTCTCCAAGAAAATATATGGTTCCTGCTTTACACATGGCTAATCTGGGCAGGGAAAGGGGAAGCAACAATGAAGGGGGTTACCATAGGAAAGGCAGTCTCCTGATGCAGTAATAAGGAGCTCTCTCCAAGCTCAACAAGGAATAAAATGTTAAAAAAGCACCTGCTGTAGGAGTGAAATGTCATCACTGACTCCAAGATGAACATGGGCCTACAATGCGAGGTCACGGTCAGCAGGGCTAACCGGACCCTATCGTGCATCCACAGGTGCATCTCAAGTAAGGCCAAGGAGGTGATCCTCCCCATCTACACGACACTGGTCAGGCCACAGCTGGAGTACTGTGTCCAGTTCTGGGCACCCCACTTCAAGAGGAATGTGGACAACATTGAGAGGGTCCAGAGGAGGGCCACCCGCATGATCCGGGGACAGCAGGGCAGACCCTACAATGAGAGGCTAC